TAGTTTGTATATATATATATATATATATATATATATATATATATATAACTGTTGCCACAAAAATAGCACAACTAAATATTGATCATAATAATAAATAATAATAAAAAATATTTTATTTATTTTAAATTTTTTATATAAATTATAATCAGTTTCAAACCTAAAATCATTAAGCTTTTATTTTGGTGGGTTGCCCACCGCTGGTTTTGAAGCACTTCAGTGAAGTGACAATTTTGTGTTTTGCTCTGAAAAACAGAAGATGTTATACAGTATTACAGTTAGACGATCTGAAACGGTGATTGTGCATTAACAGGTACGCAAACGAGTGGTCTGAACTTATTTACCCAGCGCATTTCTTATTTCAGTCATGCACCTGCGCACCATTTATGTGCATCCCTGGTTACAGAGCATGCAGACTTACCAAGCTTATCTGTTCTTTCCCTCTACAGGTCTGAATCCGCTGCCCTTTGACCCTGCCGCGAACAACGAACCCCTGCAATTCAACGGCTCCAATGGTCCTCTGGTCTCTGACTGTCCTCTGGAAAACGGAACAGAAAACAGCAAAAAGAGGAAGAGACCCAACCTTCCTCCAGGTACACTTAATGATTTCCTCTCGCCTCAGACCACGCTCACTCACACTCGTCAGGCCCCACAGTCGTTAACTGCATTCACATCGTTATTTCTGCCGCTGCTCTTTTCCTGACCTTTGAGTGTGGGTGGTGAACGCCTGGGGGTCCTGCATTCTGAGAGACGCTCGCTTCAAATTATCACCTTCATTAAAACATCGGAACAGAAACCTCAGGTTATTTCCACTTTTCTAGTAGCTTTGATCTCATAATTTGACATAAACATTGAGGTTAATAGAATAAAAATCTAATTAAAATATGCCTGGAATACAACATTAAAAATAAGTGACCAAAGTACAGATTTCTTGAGGAGTGGCTCAAGCATTTCTGCTTGTATCTTCTCAAAATTATGACTAACACCTTGCGATCTGGATTTTCAAAATGTAAAAGCGAATCTGGATATATGCCAGTCATGAACAGAGACTCTGTCTGACGCTGATAACCTTCAAAATTACACTTGAAAAGTAACGCCCAGGGAATTTTACAAACCTTTCTGATGCAGGTTGGCTCAAATGAACGAGCCTGTTCATATTCATGCTAATGTTAATGGCGTACTAATTAATTGAATTATGATTAGCTGAAAGAAATGGATCTTGGAAAGGCTACTTAATGTTTCTGGTTGTCAAGGCGACTTAATTGGATCAGATTAATTGTTAATGTTAATTAGGCAGTCTTTTTACCGTTTAACATTTTAAAGTCTTTACAGGGCTCCAGACTGCGACCATTTTTCTGCCGGTGTGACTAATTTTTGTGAGCGGTGCGACCAGTTTTGCGAGTTTTGCGAACTGGTGCGACCACCGCGTTGTCCAGCTCATAAGCGCTGCCATTTCTTTTGCAGAAAGAAAACGGCAAACGAAACGAAAGCGAAACTAAACCGTGCTACGTTTCAGCTGCGCAGAGCGGACCGTTTATCAGCTCGGACCGCGACTCAAACAAACTTGTCCGAGCTCAGAACAGCTTTACTCGGGAGCCAAAGTTGATTTCACGACTCTGTTACTGCACAGATGCAACAGTGCTGCGAGATCCAGTGAGAAGTGTTTGAATTCGCCACACAATGATAAGGTTACTGCGAGATCTAGTGAGAATCATTCAAATTCATTCATCATTCATTCATCATTCAGGGTTTGTACAATCTTTTGCTCCCGCACACCACCCCCAGCGCTACCAAATCTGCTCCTGGCGCCACCATCTGTAGAATTTAGTGTCACTGGTGCCGCTGCTCTCAAATGTTAGTCTGGAGCCCTGCTTTATTTATTGCCACATGACCAGGGCTGGTGGAATTAATTTACAGTATGTGACCATTTTTTACAAGGACAATCCACCTGGATAATGATGGCTCAACTGTTTGTTTTTTTTTATGTGGGTTTTGAACCCACAACCTTCCGAGTCTGTCATTCGCTTAATAATTGTACATTTCAGCCATCATGTGTTTCCACACATGCTGTTCTATGTAAATATGGTCTCCATTTGAAGTCTGCCGCTCTGATCTCCAGGCCCTTGATGGTCATTTCTCCCTCAGGAATTCATGACTTGAAGTGACTCTGATTAGGGATAAATGGCAGCAAGTGACGGTGAGCAGAGCTTCTCATCATCGTATATGCTCAGAGAATTGATACAAATGGAAGTGAAATGGGCTCATATTGTGTTCTGGTCATGGTGAAGAGCTGCTTGTGCAGATCAAAGCTTGCCAGCGAGCTTTAGATCAAAGCTTCCTAGCGCTAATCTAATCTGCCCATTTCAGAACACTTTTTTCTTTAGTGCAAGGACGTCATTTGAGAAAGGCTTAGATGAGCTGTATTCACCATACACCGAATATTTAGACACTCCGGAGTCCGGCTGCTGAAATGTAAGTCAGTGAGTTAATGGGTTTCAGACAAAATGTTTTATTGTTCTGCTGAGGTTGAAGAAGAGCTTTTAAGATTTTGCCAGTGTGGTGCTGCTCATTTAGAAGACGTGGGTTTGAATCTGACATCCTGTAAGACATAGTCTTGGCTTAGTGATGAGCTCTGTTGCTCATGCAGACAATGTGATTTTAATCTGGCTCGCAACACTCCCTAATCTTACTCCTCATATTACTTTCTTTACAATTAGTGAAGTGACATGTGACATGTGGCCAAGTATGGTGACCCATACTAGGAATTAGTGCTCTGCATTTATCCCATCCAAAGTGCACACACACAGCAGTGAACACACACACTGTGAACACACACCCGGAGCAGTGGGCAGCCATTTTTTTGCTGCGGTGCCCGGGGAGCAGTTGGGGGTTCGGTGCCTTGCTCAAGGGCACCTCAGTCGTGGTATTGAAGGTGGGAGAGAGTGCTGTACATTCACTCCCCCCACCTACGACTCTCTAACCATTAGGCCTAAAAAATACTAAAACAGGACACAGTAGTAGGTCAGAGCTGTGGCTTAACAGAAAGCTGAGGTGATCATTCAGACAATTTGAGTTCTAATCTGGCTCGCAACATTCTCCAATATTGCTCCTCTTGTTACTTCCTCTACTCTCCTTTAATTTAAAGAGACAGAAGACTAAAATAGGACACTTTAGTATGTTTGAGCAGTGGCTTAACAGAATGCTGAGGTGCTCATTCAGACAATTTGAGTTCTAATCTGGCTCGCAACATTCCCTGATTTTGTTCCTCTTATTATTCTCCTTTGAATGATAAACAACTAAAAATAGGACTTTTTAGAATGTTGGAGCTATGGCTTAACGGGAATCTGAGGTGCTTATGCAGACAATTTGAGTTCAAATATTGCTCGCAACATTCTCTAATATTGCTCCTCTTGTTGCTTTCTGTACTCTCCTTTAATTGAAAGAAACAAAAGACTAAAATAGGACACTGTAGTATATCAGTGCTGTGGCTTAACACAAAGCTGAGATGCTCATGCTAAGAATTTGAGTTCAAATCTGGCTCGCAACATTCCCTAACTTTTGCTCCGCTTATTATTCTCCTTTGAATAAAAATGACAAAAGACTGAAAATAGGACATTGTAGTATGTTGGAGCCATGGCCTAACAGAAAGCGGAGGTGCCAATATAGACAATTTGAGTTCAAATCTGGCTTGCAACATTCCCTAATCTTGCTCCTTTTATTACTTTGTCTACTCTACTGTAAATAGAAACGCTAAAAATAAGTCGTATGTCAGAGATGTGGGTTTATAGAAAGGTGCTCATGCAGACTTTCTCTACTCTCCCTTTAATGAAAGAGACAGAAGACTAAAATAGTGCACTATAGCTTAACTGAAAACTGAGGTGCTTATGCAGACAATTTGAGTTCAGATCTGGCGTGCAACATTCCCTAACCTTGCCCTTTACTCTCTTATTACTCTCTCTACTATCCTCTAAATAAAAAATGACAAAAGACAGGCCACTTAAAGCCGGTCACACTAGACTTTCAGCATATTAAATTTCTTCAGGCACTGCAACAGTCATATAACATCACACTCTGCAGCGTTGGTGTGCATGCAGACAATTTGAGTTCTAATTTGGCTCTCAACATTTCCTGATCTCGCTTTTATTATTGCTCTCCTTTAAAGGGGTCATATGATGCTGCTAAAAAGAACATTAAACATTTGGGCGGCGTTATGCAAATCTTCCCACATAGTGAGGTAGATATGTCGGGGCGTGTTAGAACGAGCCATTTTAGGTAGGTGTGGCTGACTCTGAACTTTTATAAAGACTATCTCTTTGGATTTGAGACTTTAGTCTTTGCAACTTTACAGACCTTCTTTATGCACCAAGCGCTTGTAACACTCCAAAGAGAAAGGAAAAATTGAAATCGCATCATATGACCCCTTTAAATAAAATTGTCACAAGTCTAAAAACAGGTCATGTAGTATGTCAGAGCTGTGGCTTAACAGAAAGCTGAGGTGCTCATGCAGACAATGAGTTCTAATCAGGCTGGTAATGTTTGCTAATCTTGTCGTTTTAATACTCATTCTAATCTCCTTTAAATAAAAGCACCAAAAGACCAAAAATAAGAGGTTTGTAGTACACACAACACTAATATTGGCTCAACCCAGTGGGAAGTATGCAGTTTGCGTCTCAGTTACTCAATTAGCACCTGTCTGATTTGTTAAGCCTTTGATTATGCTGGCTGAATCACGCGACTGTTGTCTTGAATCTTACAATGCCTGGGCTTAAGTAAAGCCACTAGCGCTTCACAGCCGCTCTAAATAGTTGTGCTAATGTCTGCTTAGCAACCGGGAGCTGCTTAATGGGGTTTCTTTTTGAACAACGCCAGCAGTTTCACTTCCCGGCCTGTCATTATGCCGTGCTCTTATCCGCCGTGACCGTGCCTGATCAATCCGCTCCCTGATGGAAACACATCTAAATGATGAAAATTCGCAGCATCTGGAGCATAATGCATTCAGCCGCTCTGATGTCCTCTGGCAACACAAGACAGAGCCGCTCCTCCGAGGAGTGGAGCTAATGCAGGGGTGTGGACTAATTACCAGCAATGCAGATTTACTCTTGTTAAAGCATTATAATGGATAGATTCATCTCATTAGCGCTGGCACTCCATTAGACATCCAACCCCCCATCCCCCTGCCCCGCTGCTGTTGATGTTACTGGATAACGGATGCACTGCAGAGAGCGAGTGGGTGAGAATCGCTACGCTCATACAGGACTAGGGATGCAACGATACCATTTTTTCAGAACCGATTTTAAATCAATGTAGAATTTCTATACTTCTGTGGGTTGACCTGATCATCACTCTTGTGTGTGTTAAACACAATCTGCTATATATATGAATATATATGAATATATATATGAATATATTTAGAAATTATAGAAATTAATACTTTTAGCAAGGATGCTTTAAATTGATCAAAAATGATGATAAAGACATTTATAATGTTACTAAATATTTATATTTTAGATAAATGCTGTTCTTCTGAACTTTGTTCATCAAAGAAACCTGAAAAATGTCTACTCCACTGTTTTCAACATCATAATAATAATAA